CTTCTGACAAATGTCATGTATTTTTAACATTACTATGCTACAAACAATTTATCTATGGTATGGAAGTATTTATAAAGGTTTTATTAAGCATTATTTTAACATTTTTGTAATATTTGTTTTGGAAATAGTTTAAAGTTTGATTAATAACACGATTTTAATAGAATCCTAAACTACCAACAATTCTTAGAAAATCAGTCAGCCTGCAGAGATTTGATTTATAATTACAAAACGCTGTGACCTGAAATAAGACTTGGTACGGCTACATGTTAGCATGGTTGAGTTGGGACGGAGCCAAACGATTTGGGAGGAAACGATGTAGTAGGACTGAATCGACACGTGCAATGTAGTTCTACAAGATAACCTCAAGTTAATTTATTTTTTTAATGTTTATGTTTTTAAAGAATTTAAACATAGCGTTTGCTTTATTTTGTAAATATTTACTTTATAGCTTATTTACTCACAATGAATATTAGCTTGAACGTAGACTATAATGCAATAGTTTAGATATATAGTTTACACCTTATACTTAGGTTTAGTTTTTTTATATTTAATTTACACAAAATGATACTTTAACACTAATAAAAATTAAAATTATAACCTTGGAAAAGCTGTTTTGTGATTACGTGACCATTTAAGGTGTCAAAGATGTCTGAAATAATAATAATATATCTCTATTCAGTATTTCTGGGGTCTTTGCACTTGAAAAGATGGCAATAAAGCTTGCTATGTACACATTGTCTTGTCGTACTACTACACTATAATAAATGATTTATCATACAGTAATTTAAATATGATTTATTTAGAAGAGAAACTAATTTTAATTACATAAATTGAATAAATAATTCCATACAATATGTAAATACTTATTACCTTGTAAACAACTCAAGGTGAAAAACGACCTCTTGTCGTTAAAAACCAAGTATTATGTTATGGCTTAACTTAAACTACAGTTATATTACGGGTCGTGTTATAATTTAATATCATCTAAAATTGTTATACCGCGTTATTGTCTTAATATGTAAAGTACTAAAGCCAAGCTGCAGCCCTTGTTTGTCATAGGTGTTTGGGTCAAAACCAATCATTATAATAAATTTACACATAACCCCTCTTGATCAATATAATAAGAGTAAAAAGATTGGCAGTCATGACTCATCTTCCGGCGTCGCCACACGTGTCCCCCGTGATTAATTACACTGGCCAGTTTTTTACAGTATTATATTCGTTTTTTGTGTTTTTCGTGTTCGTGTATGTGTTTTGAGTGTATCGACGAATCTAACCAAATTGGTTAGATGACCTATTGACGTTTTTGCCTGAAGATGGACTTATTTTCAAGTCCGAAACTATAGTAGTGAAATACTAAAGAAGGATCACTTGACGAAGCCAGGTAACTTAAAACTTTTTAGCCTAAAAAGATGAATTCTGTCAGAACCACTACTATAAATTAAGATAATTATTAGTGCTACTAGTTTTACTTAGTAATAACATAAACTAACCAACACAAGTAGACTTCTCATCCCATTGTAAATTTTGAAGCTCGTTTTTCATGTCTAGTTCATGTACGCCACACTGGGCGCTAGTGTCGACGAAATTTTGTTTCTATTATTTTAGGGTTAATTTCTTGATTTGTGCTTTACTGTTTGGTTAAATAACTAGGGGACAATTTATTGTTTATGATTAGATCGTATTATTTGGTTAAACGAGGTTTTAAATGACTGTATTAAGGTATTTACTCAGGGGAGGTATAGAAGAGGCTACGATGACAGCTGTCCTGTATTAACGGGAAACAAATTGTAAACAAAACACGACCTCTACATAAACCGTACAGAACTAACAATATAATTGTCTTCAGCTGTTCCATTAGGATGAGAAATCTACTAAGGGAGTATGTTTTATCTATGGTAATAATATATTAATTCATTTACCAATGAAACAAATGAACAAGTGATTATTTTTTAAAGTTTACTTTGAATAAATTAGAGATTCCTGATGGAAATTTGACCGGAATATATATCAAATAGAAAACTGTTTTTGGAATACATAAATATAAAATTATTTCTTGTTAAAGTACGATGATAAACTAGAATCTGAAACAATGTTGCAGCCTGTAGTAAAATGCCATTTTATCAATTTACACCAACTGTTCAACATTACTAAACTGAAAACAAAGCTTACATCAGTTTTCAGGTACAATATGGAACCAGTCTTATCAACAAATTATCTGTGAAGCTATTGAATTTTATCTGTGACAAGTTTTATCACAATATGAACAACTAAAACCAAAGTTATTATCACTAGTAGTAGAATACTCTTTCAATTATGTTCTGTCAAAATCAATGCCCGCGTGATACCTTTAATATCTACTTCCTTTATTGCACGACCCATAATTATTGCCCTCTTGAATAAAGTATGTGCTAAAAGTGGTTCAAAAGGGTCAATTTGGTAATCTTTATTGAAGCTTAAGATAAAATAAATTCTAATTCCAATAAGTAAGAGCAAGACATCCGGCTTACTATCAAGAGGGAAATGATTATACAGATTACATTTTTACAGTGCTTGAAAAGATGCTTAAAGTTTTGTTTTAGTTGATAAGAGTGTAAGAGGTATTTAAATCTGTGTGGGCCACACACATAGGTAGTTCCTAAGTAGTGAGAAGTGATATTTTCACTTTTATATTCTCGAGGGTGTATTTTTTTGCGAAGCTTCAAGTGCACACATGGTATGTAATCCTGTAATATTTACTCTTAATATTTTATAACCTAAAAGAGGCTTCTATGTGTGTGTTTTGTACACCTGTAATTAGTGAAATGCTGCATTTCAGCATTCCCGTTTCATTGAGTGTACTACAATACCCATAGAAATTTGAACTCCCACGCCGTAGACTGGTAAAATCTATATATTTAATACGCGACATGAAACTTTGTGAACAATAAGTCTTTTTGTTTTAAGATTTAACCCCACATATTATGTACCAAAATGTTCGTCTAGGTATGTAGATGTGCAAACAGGCTTTAGATTTTCGAAATATATCTTTTTAAGGGCAAGGGCTGCCCTCAAAGTTCCTTCCATAAGGATAACATTGTGATTGATTTGAATGTTATTATATTCTGAAACAGATGACAATAAATTAGTTTAAAGAAAAATAAATCCCAGCTGGTATGTTTGGTTTTGAAATGTAAACAGTTTGCATGTTTTTAAAAATAACTAGAAACCCTGCAAAGAAATTTTACCTATAGGACAAGACGGGAGAAATGTTTTATATTAAAGTTTCTATTATACATGCCAAGGACCCGACGGAAAAGAAATATTGCCGGTCGGACACGGTGAGTCAACATAGCAATGCAAAACGTAAGGAGCCCTGACGAGGAGCTGGAACAGTTAGTGGCAACGTGTACTTACAAAATTGCACTGACTAATACCAGAATTCAGCAGCATTCACTTGTCGAGATGGCATTAAAATGTCAGAAATGTGGTGTGCTACATTTTAAAGAAGAAAAAGAGGACGAGGCGAAGGATTTTCATCCTGCTGCCATAAAGGAAAAGTGAATCTACCACCATACCGAGAAAGCCGTTATATCCAGAGCCTACCAAATGGAGCAAATCATACAAAGAGAACACTAGATCGTGCAACTCTGCGCTCGCAATGGTCAGCACTCGAGCTAAAATTGAAGAACATAAAGCTGGAGGGCCTTACTGTATAAGGTGCACGACACAATTTATCACTCAATTGGACCTTTCAACCATCAGAAGGGGAGCATCCCACATATGCCCAAATTTATATCTATGACGTCGAAACCGCTGTTCAAGAAAGAATGCTAAACAAAGCTAATGGCTCTTGCAGAACTGAACTCATGCACATTTTGACTCAACATTTGGTTGATATTAATCCATACGCGCAAGTTTTCAGCATGATAAGCTCCTTCCTGCAAAATACTCCTACTGCACTGCGAAAAGAACTTAGAATGCATATACTGTAGTCAACGATCGAGCTCAAGACCAACGTCGATACAACGACGCAACATCTAACGACGTTGCTATGTTATCCTAATTTATTATTCGTGCGAATTCGCACGGGTTCACCTAGTATTATTTAAACGTGGTTGGGTAGGATTTGTTCGGTAAGTACGGTGTACACATTTCTAAGAAAACATTAACTATTTTATACTAAGAAATAAAACAATGTAAATCCAAACGTTTTTTAACGTTGAAATTTTGCGCCCAAAAAGTACTCAATATTTGTTGGTAGCATAAATCGATTGGGCCTTATAATCATCGGTTTTATGGATCAAAACAGATCACCATTGTAACATTTTATTTATATACGCTTAAGAGGGTTTGGGAGGGTTAAACTATTAACATGGTACTTTTGAAAATCTTACCATTAATTTAAGATCACGTACTACATCTCTGCCAAATTTCAAGTCTCTAGATTGTTTCTAAACTGTACAGATGAACATACGAAAGTCAGCAACTTTCAATGTTATTTCCCATAAGAATAACATAGGGAAAATTCTAAATTTTGGGGGGATAAAATAAAAAATCTACGTTTTAGGATTTTCCCGGGGGTTTGGGACCAAGACCTACAATCGTGCCAAATTTCGGATCTCGAGCTATTCTAGAAGTGGGTAAACATTTGTATCACCAGTGAGTGAGTGAGTGAGTGAGTTGCATATGCGGGTGTATAGTATTTATATTTTTTGTGTGTGTACCTTTGAAAGAAGACTAAGAACACTATTTTTCTTATTCTATACTGCAGAGCATAGATTATACATTAGTTTAACATGTTTAATATGCTTAGGCATTGGCTTCCTATATTTTATAACATTTAAAATGTATTTTGTCTATGATAGTAGACAACTCTCCTGTGAGATTTTAAAGATAACCAAAAAGGAAGGAGTGCGATAGGTCGACCTGTACGGATTGAAGTGGTTTGACCTTGGAGTCCACCGATCACGGTTTTAGTTAAGAGCACTCATTGTATAACGCCTCAGTTGTGTCATTGACACGCTCCCGGTCGCCAGTATAGTGTATACAGAGTGTATATAGTGTGTATAGGTTGTGTAAGATAATTGGAAATGTCAGGACAAGAAGGGGTTAGAGGTAAAATTATCAAACGATATTGCAAACTGAGCCAGATGTTTTTATAAATTTGTTTATTTGTAGATTAAGGTAAATGTTCATGATATCTGATTAAAAAATCATTAACGTTTTCCATTCAAAAGCTAAACTGTGGTGAAATTAGTTTTTTTTTACAAGATATTAGTAACGTTATAACAGTTTTTGAGTGATTTTAATTCCGTATGTTGATATAACTACCTAAATTCAGTGATGGTGAGTATGTATGTTATAGTGTTTTCTATAGTATAATTAACAAATGTATACCTTGTGTGTAACCGTTATTAATTCAGGAGGCAAACATTTTTGTAAAGCAATATGTACTCAACTGACATCGGTATCTGAACTAGCTGATAGCCTGTCTAGTGTTTTCGAACGACATTATCTGAAGCACATGGAAAGAGACCTTGACTTGGTACTTGAAGTAATCTTTTATTATCGTTATGAGATAACCCAAAATGTTTCTATAATTGAATAATGTTACGCAATCTGTTGTGGTCATTGATAAAACTAAGAATCAAAACACTGTCATGATTCCAGCTTATTAGATGGTAAAAGTTTAAAAATGGTTCTAGATTATTGACTTTGATTTTAAGTATTTCCTAAAATATTCAAATTTGTATATCCTTAATTACATCTTAGTCTAATTTTCAAGACTCTAAATGTTTTAAATAGAGAGTGAATATTACGTTGTTAAACCAATAACATAGCCTAATGAATCGCTATTTTAGGTTTTATGCATTACAAAACGGTTTTTTGTTAATTTCCATAAAGTTTATTCTTTAATTTAAGATATTTATGTAGTCTGTGTTTCTACGTAACTCCATTATAACTACTTTGTGTTCCACCTGTCACAGTAAATTAAATGAAATTTAACTACAGAATTCACCAAGATCGATGTAACTCTTGCCTTGTAGGAATATTTGATGTGTTTAGTTCAAGTCCCCAATATTTTGTTTAAGACGAATATTTGTACCAGGTAATTGCATCGACATATAAAACTAACATAGTTTTATATGTCGATGGGTACTTAATTGTGTGTCAAAGATATTATAAGTGTATCACTAGTGTGGTGAGTAGCGCTTTAGCTTTACACTTGGTTTAAGAGTTGTGGGTTTGGCCCCTGCATATCCTCCCAAACTAAGGGCTTTGGTTTCTGGCGTAGTTCAAATAAATGCTAATTTTATGCTTCATGTAGATGGTTAAGAAGATAAATATTTTTTTCATTTATAACCAAATTTTTCATATCATCAATTCTCTTGTATTATAATCTAACGATGTAAATAAAGTGTTATTTTTACAAAGTTCACTAAAAACTCAATAAATTCAAAACTTATATTTTTGTGTGAAAGATCCTGAAGCTTAACCGTCAATGGACAGTTAAAGTTCTCTCTGCTCTGTAAGAGGTATTCTAATTTTCCCAATACATTCGAGGTATTAAAAACATGTTTTATACTTATAGTAAATGCTGTTCTCAGTACTATTTTGTTTACAGTTTTTCGTAAAGACACTCTTTATGTTATTTTTCATTACAACAAACGTTTACAGTTCGAAAAGAAAAAAAAATGGGAATACGAAAAGAAACTTTACTGTCTGTGACAGCATATCTTGTTTCACTTTATATTATACCCCAAATTACATGACACAACTTTTTTTCTCAGTAGCCAGTGTTCTCCAAAAGAACATAAAACTCGTCTAATAACACTTCAAGAAGTTATCAAGAAGTCATTTAGTGTTCTCTGTAAATAATAAATCAATCACCTTTTCCAGGCTCCCCTACTGCACCTACTCGTAGTTATAGTCTCATTGGAAACAATCCACGCCGCAAGGATACTCGGGATGTTTCCCATGTGGGGGAAGAGTCACCACAATTTCCTGCAGCCCGTCATGAAGACTCTAGCAGCCGCTGGGCACGAGGTGGTCATGTACAGTCCCTTCCCTCTGGACAAGCCTCCTCCCAACTACACCGATGTCTTCCTAGAGAACATCAAGCCCAACAGCAAAGAAAGTGAGTTTAGAGAAACGTTATGATTCAAAAGCTTAATATTTAGGTTTAAGTTATGCTATGGTTATCTGGTATACCTTTATTGTTCAACAGAGTCTGGGTAGAAATGCGGGATTTTAGCCTAGAGTTATGGATCCAAATTCCGCCATTCACCATTGGCTTTAAGCTTAGTAATAATTTTGCAGTTATGATTCAGCCTCTGTGGAAAACAATAATGTACAAAAAAAATGTACAATAAAAAAAATGTACAAGCAAAAAAACTGGTATCTTTGGAAAGGAGGGCCTTCACTGTATTTCATAACTCCCTCACTTATATAAAGGTGTTTGTAAAGCATCGAAATTGAATTACTTGTTGACTATCACTAAAAATAACACTAAAAGATCTACTTTCCATACCTTGCTCAGATATAGTGTCTGTAACTACATTAGAGAATTGGATGAAAATAAATGTATGAAACATTAAGAAAAAAATAGACAAAACAAGGTTCAAGCAAAGATCTAATAAAATAATATAATTCTAAAAAAAAATCAATGGCATTACAACATGCAATTACAAAAGATTATTACATGGGCAGAACCTGCGTGGCATTGGGGTAAGCGACATTGTTTGTATTTGTTAGTGGAAAATGACAAAATACTCTTTTGGACAAAATACTAAGAGATCAATCAACACAGTAACAAGGGGGTTGGTGCGCCCTATCTTTCTCCATGTTAACTAATTTTCCTTTTTCTCAGAAACCAATAAAGATAGCTCACTTCTGTTTTTTTTTATTGGAAAGATCAGACCTTTTTACATAAATGGAGTGTGTAAAATTTACCAGTAAGCAATTTCAGATTTTACATGATTTTTTTTCAAACGCTTATAAATTAAAAAAAAAAAAATTTATTTTATTTTTTTTTATTTTTTTTCTATGTTAATTTTAATTTTTTGTCCACTCCATTTGTGTATCTTAGCTATATCTATCTATTAAAAAAAATTCCAAGTTGATACCTTTAGTAGTTATTTAGAAAAAGGAACATATGTGTTAAAAAAACTAACTTTCGGAAAAACGCAAAAAAGGGAAAAATCCATGTATTATTAAGAAAAAGAAGACTATAACTCACTTTAGTGACCTCCTGCTGCATATGATGGGTGTTCCCCCTCTTCCTCTTCATATTTATCTTCTAATTTTCTTTTAAGAAGACTTTTGCTCTGCCTTATCTTCTTTTCCAGCTCTCCCTGCGCCTTATTCGCTTGCCGGATGCGGTCTTTGTCGAGCTGCTCCATGGTACGTATCAGATGGTTGCCTGGTTTTAGGTCACACTCCATCAATATTTTGCATATCCCTACTCCCCCATCATTAAAACTACACACTGCCATATCTACTCCAAGTTTCAGAGTCCTCAGGTGCACAAACGTTGTTTTGGGAATGTAGGTCCAAATAACGTTATTGAATAATTCGTTCTGGTTCTGAGTTTTCCCTTTCAAACATCTTGCCAATAAGTTCCTGTCTGATAGATCTGTGAAAACTGGTTTAATGTAGGCCGTTACATCAGGGGGCAAATGAAAATGCTGTTTGTGGTTATAATCTTGATTTGTTTTCATTGCGATGTGGTACTTGCACCACGTTTCATCACAGAGGTCATGCTGTGGGTCGTCATTTGAGGACAGAATGTGATAATATACAGCCCACACAGCTTTATGCATATTATCTACAGTTGTTGTACAATTCCTTCTAATGGCTAGTCCATAATATTTCTGTATTTGTAGCATTGCAGTGTTTGTCAAGCGTCCTTTACCTCCTAAAAACTTTTCGTTTGGAAGTTTTTTTGTTTTTACCTTTAGTGCTTTTAGTCTCGTCCCCATCCTTTTCTGCACGTGCCCTATGCATTCTACCTTTTCTATTTCTGTAGCTCCATAGGGTTTACTTTCACAGACTGCAGCATAGGCCTTGCTGTCTCCGTCACCAAGATATTCCAAATACCGAACGGCGTACAAATCTTTAGAGCGCTGAAATATTTTCACTGCTCCAGCCACTTCCATGGCTCCACTAGACCCACTAAAGTTAGCCTCACAACTGTCAGTGTGTTTATCGTTAAGCCTATCCTTACATGTACAAAATTTGGATATTACCTCTACATCTATTACCTTACCATTTGCCAGGGAGGTTACTGTCAATACACCATTTAGTGATTTGTGACCTCTTCGCTGCCACGATCCATCAACGGCTACAGCTATATCGCTACATTTGTTATTCAGCTCTACAGCTTCTAAGACAGCCTTTACTTTTGATTCCTTAGCTACATTAGCAGCAGCCAAACCTAAATATTCTTCATGAAGGAAAAATCTATGGAAGGGCTGTCCCAAATTCAATACACCGCAGAGTTTTTTCGCTGCGATTCTGCCCTTGCCTATCGTACGCAGGCCTAGTGCCAATCTAATATTTAAATCATATAGTCTATACACTTTGTCTTCCTTAGGCCTATTAAATGAAACACTTTTGCAGTTTTCAAACTTATTACTGTTTTCACAGTGAGTACACCTTACAGCTACTTCACAGGCCAATCCGCAAACTTGACTTTTCACTAGTTTTAGTGGAGAATTACATATTTTACAAGATGCTACATTATTTAATGTTTCCTCAAGAGCATTCAAGTCAATGATGGTGTATTCAAATTGTTCACTTTCCTGTTCTCTATACCAGTCCAAACTATTACTGAGCTTTTTGGAAGAGGAACTAGGCCTTGACTGATCCTTAGGCTTGGATGGGGTTAGGCCTTGACCATTTTTTGGGTTGTTCTCATCAGACCTACCACCAAAAGTTTTTGGTCTCTTCTTGAATATTCTTGTACTTCGAGGCATTCTAAAGTAAAAGTATCACTAATAAAATAAAATCACTGTAACAATTAACACTAAAACACTCAACATCGGAGTATAAACTTCACAATCACTGAAACAATGTTTTTTAACTTTGTATTTGGTAAACATAAACAACCAACAACAATAACAACAGCTGAGCAGACTAACTGAAAGCTAACAGAAAGGCAGAAGGCTATTTATCAGGTTGGCCAACCCAACAATGCAAAATCACAACGCATCAAAATAAGAGGTGTTACTATATAAAGTTATTGTAACTTCTGTGACTCTCGGAGGGCGGAGTGGGCGTAAAAACAGGTGACATACTCTTACTAAATATTTTTTTACGTATGTTTACAATTTTATAAGGTTTGATTGTTATGTATCGTTGGAAACAGGAAATTCCTGGCTATAAATTAGTAAAATAAAAAGGTTTTTGGAAAAAAAAATTTTTGGTGCACCAACCCCCTTTTAATAATCACTTGAAAGTTGAAATTAGTAAGGTTTTTGGATGTTGCGTAAGTAAAAAAAATTAAGATATATACATATTATCGCAAGTAAAATTATAGGTAAATTATATAAAAATTGTAAATATTGCATATACAATTTTAACACCCTTTTTATTTAGAATTTGACAAAACACAACTATTGACACTTAATTATTTAGTAGTTAACCTTGCATTATCCAGTATTATGTTTTTCTATCACACAGTTTACTTGTTTCAGTGCAAGAATTCTTTCTTGAGATCACTGATTTCCCAGAGTGGAAATGTACCGACTCACACTGGCTACTCCACCGGTTAATGTACAACGAGTTCATAGAGGATCCAAAGATTCAGGAATTGCTCACTGGGAAGGAGAAATTTGACCTAATATTCGTTGAAATAACAGTTCAAGAACACGCCCTCATCATGGCGGAAATATTTAAAGCTCCAGTCATTTCTCTTCAAGCATTCTTCCTGAATAATATTGTCAAAAGCATATCTGGAAACGTCTTGGAGCTCGCTTATATCCCCGATGTTTGCCTGTCCCTCTCAAACAGGATGACCTTTCAAGAGAGACTTTTTAATTCATTCTCCAGTCTCAGGGGACTCTATTACCACTACTACTATCAACTTCCATCGTTGGAGACGATGATGAGGAAGAGGTTCCCAGATCTTCCGCCGATCACTGAAATGGTAAAGAACATATCTTTGCACTTCATCAACGACCACATGACTGCGGACTACGCCCAGCCTAGGGCTCCCAATGTTATCGGAGTTGCAGGGATACACATACAGCCTACTAAACCTCTGCCAAAGGTAAAGTACATATTCGGTAAGGAATGTTTTACGTGCAGCGTTATCTCTTGAGCTAATTGAGAGTTGGGAGTTTTTGCCAAAGTTATGTAGTATTTATCATTCTAATATGGTTTCAATAGAATATTGGACACGGAATGTTGTTAAACATTACCTTTTCAAATATTTTTTTATAAAGTGTAAAATTCCTAGCTAATTTGAATTAACATAAGCAATTTTTGTCGTTGTTAACTGCTGTTTGACATTCTAATATAGTTTTCCTATTTGTAAATTTAAATTTCACAAAATAATAAACAACTCGTGACTGTATATACCTACTTTTAAATCCTTGGACATTTCTTTATGCTGAACTTATGAAAGAGTACAATAAAATTATTAATATAAATAACGAATGGCTGTTATTGGTTTGATTTAGTGCTAAACAGACATAGATATTTATTACTTACATTAGCTAATTATTTTATTATACATACGAGTTCCTTTTGTTGTGACGTTTAACTGTAACTGGATCAGTTTAAATAGAAACAAATACCATACATAAACAACTTCACTTATTTATTTATTGAATGGTACAGTAAAATAATGTAAAATGTTTCAGGAGATCCAAAAGTTCATGGACGAGGCACCGGCTGGAGTCATATTCTTCAGCTTGGGCACCTACGTAGATGATGATATAAAACCAAAAGTATACTTTGATATGTACAACAATATATTCAAGAGGTTAAAAGAAAGGGTAATTTGGAAGACGAGGAAGAGTAATATTGAAGGCCTTCCAGCGAATGTCTTGACACTAAAATGGGCTCCTCAACCGGATATTTTAGGTAAAAATCATAAACAATGTTTTTTTTATAGTGAACCGTATAAAATTTCTAGTTTATTATGTACACCTTTTGCTTAAGTATTGAGTTTGTGATTCCTTGTTTTATTCATTACTGAAGATCAGCTGTACTATAAATCACAGCATACTCTAAAACAAATAATAGAACAATTTGATGCATAAAACAAATAATACTCATAACACATAGCTGATTCTGAGGTGTACGGGGGATTGATGGAAGGTGTTATATTTTGTATAGGATTAATTTTGCAAAGTAAATAAAAAAGTAAATTGAAACATATTTCAATCACAGTACATTATTTATGTATTTTGGAAAATTTAAATTTAATAGATGCACCAAACCTCCAACTGTAGTCTACTTAATTTTTCTTACTTCAATTTCTAATAATAATTGCTTCAACACATTAGACAAAACAAAAATATATATATCAAAACATCTTTTTTAATGTTAGCATTGTATTCTACTAAAAAAGACTTTTCATTTGATGTGCATATTGACCTATGCTCCTATTTAAGATTTCCTTCTGACTCCTTGCGGGGATGTCCCCATGATATGACAGAAAATTCATAGTTCCTTGAAAAAGTAGATTTTTAGGTGTGGTGTTGATGTACCAAATCTTATTGATTTATCTGTTGTCGTTTAGAAAATATTAAGCCCGTGCGGGACTTTATATACACCCTGTACATCAAAAGTAGTTGTCTAGGTTGGTTGAGGTGAATTTTATTACTACTGTTAATTCCCTTTTAATTTACAATGATGTACATGAAGTGACTACCAAAAACCGATTATTTACTTTATAATTTATTTTCAAATTGCAGTTATGAAATTTAATACACAATAAAACTTCACAAACATGGCAAAACACACTTAAACTTGTTGCAATGTTAAACATTGCAATCCACATACATAAGAAATGTCAATGCGAATGGTTTAAATGCTAGTTTTGAGTAGTATTTTTAACCTCTGAGGTCATTAAAATGAAAAAGTAAATCGGCCCGCATACTACAATAGCGTATTCCCTTTAGGGAATTTTGCTAATACACTGATTAACGTTATGTAGTAGCCACAACTAGAAGTAAAAAATCTATGAATATTCTTGACCCTAAAACTGTAAATTTGATTCGTTTAACCCTTTCTTCAGCACACCCCAACTGTGTCCTGTTCATCACTCATGGCGGACTTCTCAGCCAACATGAGGCGGTTCACTTCGGCGTCCCTGTCGTTGGCATTCCTCAGTTCTACGACCAACATCGCAACGTGAGGTTCTACGAGGAACGAGGAATCGGAGTTAAGGTGGCCATCAACGACATCTCAGAGAAGACCATGTTTACAGCGATAAGAAAAGTGCTGGACAACCCAAGGTAATATACAGGGTGGCTGGTCATCTGTGATACAATCATCTTTTGATTAAGTACAAAGTAAATGAAGTGTGATTATGCAAATGAGAGGTTCCAGGTCTAAAGATTTTCTTCCCAAAGAATTATTGGAGAACACTCCATTTTAAATGATTCGAAAGATTAAAATTAAGCTACGATCAAAATAACAATTGGTCTATTTATTTTTTCTACATCCTGTATACAAGAAGGTAGCAAAATATGTTTAACACTGCACCATTTTATAAGCTTTCCAACCATATGCTAGGGCATGAACTACTTCCCATTTAACAGCTACAAATATGAGCAAAGCTGAAATTACTATTTTTTGGAGTAATATGATGGGCAAAACAGAGTCGCCGTGCAGCTCATGACACAAGCTACAGATCCTGTTAACTCAAAGAAACTTGTGGGGTTTAGGAATAAGCTAGGGACTATACTTATAATTCAGCAGTGAGCTTTCGACTGAATATTTTGTGTACAGTTACAGAGACAACATGAAGAGGTTGTCTGCGGTATTCAGAGATCGGCCCATGTCTCCTGCGGAGTCTGTCGTGTTCTGGACGGAGTATGTGTTGAGACACGGCGGAGCTCCACATCTGAGGCCAGCCTCTACTGAGCTGCGTTGGTATCAGCTGATACTACTGGATGTAGCATTAGTTGTTTTTATGATACCGTCCTTGTTTATTATTTCTTTAATTTTATTTTACAAAAGGTATATGAAAAAAAGTGTTTCAAAAATAAAAAAGGAAAACTAGTTTCCGTGATTATTTTTAATCCCCAAATTATCCCGGTAAAAACATTGTGTGCACGTCAAATGGTGATAGCTAATAACAAATATTTTATATCCTATATAGATAATTATGCTACTGTTATAGTAGCATATGAACATTTTCGAAAGACCAATAAAGATGGTAAAATGAAGTACAGTTTTTTACGAGGATTTGTATTTAATAAATTTTTATTATTTCGTAGATATGGTACTGTTATTTAATTTAATTCCTACTTGATTATGGAATTCAGTTATTGTTAAATTACAAAGTCTTCTATCGATGAACCGTGCTGGAAACAAAACGATAATGAATATGTTGAAAAAGTCACTGCTTCAATGACTTTTTTCTATTCGACTTATTTGTCAAACGTATTGTACAGTATTAATTAATAGGGTTATTTAAATTGATGCATGAATCAAGGGGGGACATTAAAGCATAACTTTTAAGGTCTTTAATTTCTTATTGAAGTATGAATCACACTGCTGTGAGCAAAGCCTGTGTGATGCTAAATCTCTTAATATGGTTGATGTCTTATTATATTTTATCCTTAATATAAAATGACCTATTACGTAACTCTACTCTATCAGATGGATGTTCGGTTTTACATTCTAGCTATTGTGGATTGTTCAACCAATATTCCCCATGTTACAAATCAATGAAAGCTACCAGAAAAGATGGAGGCTTAATAATGCTGGTATCGATATGGAACATAGGAATATAAACAAACAATCATGACTGGCACAAACCGACAACACGAAATGCTGAATCATTCTTCACTGGGATCCAAAGAGTAAATTGCTATCAGTTGTGGCCGTTGTGAACAAAGAAATTACACGTTTGGCTGAAAAGATAACAGAATGGATTGTTAGTTCCTTATTTAGTGTTTCCCTAGAAGTCCGAGGGTATTCTACAGTTTCAAAGTAAGTTCTCTTCTTCTGTCAGTTATTTACATTTTAAAATCTTTAGTTTACTGTCTAAAATTTTGTTAGATTTTTTACGAGGTGTACAGAGTTTTAGTCGTACCTTTATCGTATAGCCAAAATTATAGACTGGTTTCAGCCCATTTTAAATACATTTTTCACGTAAACCATTCCATTTTGGAATCTCTGAGGGTGGTTCATTATGGTGTAATAGTTAGAAATGTAGTAAATTGGATTACTGATACCTGAGAGTTTTTAATGTGTCACCATTTGCACGTTTGTCTCGTGCACTTGGTTATTTCAAAATCTGTTAATATATTATACAATAATTTTGTGAATGTGTTGTTGTTTCGTTCTCCACATTTCAAAAACTATAATATGGAATTGCTAAAATATTAAGAGCGTTTATACACTAAACAATTTGCGTGTCTCCTGTAAAGAAAGTAGGAGGGTAACAGTTAAATATTTCCCAAGTTATTATTACAAAGGTAAAGTTATTACAATGCTATTTATCCAGTCTTTATGATCTCCTGACGTAAAAATTACATACTGCATTGCAGTTTTATAGACTTTATAATAATACGGCAAATAAAACTAAGCTGACTCGGAAACCACGTTGGTTGAAACTTAAATACAATTTGAAGCTCTCTCATAATTAACATTTTCCTACCATACTACTATCTATGATACTGCCAAGCATATCTCAGCCACGAATAATTGTGTTAACAATTACTGCCTAAGTCTTAATTTCTTTTAGATTCAAAGAAGATTGAATTTGGATTGAAATAGTGTTGCGGTATTTACATTCACTAACAAGTTCCAGAACTAGAAGCCATTGGTAACTAAGCTATGAATTAATGATCTTATCTAACAAAAAGGTCAACTTCCCCTTTCCCTTTTTAAAACAAAAAAAATGTGATTGGCATAGGAAGACACACAAATAAAATATAAGTCGAACGGAAATAAAATGTATAAAAAGAAACATTTGTTTTGGCAAGTCAGTGAATAAGTCAGTTAATCTTTACAAACGTCTAAACGAAAAAAGAGAATTTGGTATAGTGGATCTAGTAATTAGACAAGCGTCTAGGCAGCCAGTGCAACTCCGAGGATCGTGGATCAGAACACCCCCCACCACCGCACCATGTCGTACGCTTCCGAATCATACCGGCGCATCAGCATAGCCTAACTGTTCGCAGAAAATTGTTATCTCTATCACTATCGCTGTCAAAACGTATCGTTTGAGGAGCCAGTCCTCGGAGTTACACTGGCAGCCTAGATGCTTATAGTAATTAGAGCTTGGACGTTCCTGGAGGCCTATATTCAGACACAATAATTTAACAATGTGAAAATTACATGGCTTCTTGAATTCTCGATGAAGTAGTTAAAATAAGTAGGAAAATACCTTTTAGGTCATTGAGCTGAGTAAAACCCCAGTATTGAAGGTCACTTATATTAATAAACGACAAATATCGGTCATGAATTTTATTTTCCCACAAAACTTTTATAGACTTCCATTTTTTTTAAAGGCTCCATTCATAATTTATTTGATTTAATGTCAAATAATTACCACCAACATATTGATACGGTTATTCGTAGCTTAGAAACATTGCTAGAGATTTGAAATGTTCCCAAGCAATTAAAGCAATCTAGAGAGATATTTAACTAACTCCTGATGGTCTCTGAGGGTGATTCATTCGGATGCGGGTCGTATAAAACCCAGAGTAAATCTTTCAGGAACTTAAGTTGATATATTGTAAGTAAGTATAATTAATGTAAGTATGTTACCATTGCTTAGGATTTTGCGAAACATCAATTCTTAATATTTTTTAAATTAAATTCGAGCTTTAATTTTTGTTTTAATAATAATATTTTAGCTTTCCACCATACAAGTGCCAGTGACTTTGGGTTTTAATATTCTCATTGCTCTTAAACAAAATATTTTCAAGGGTTAAAACTAACCGATGATTGAAAAATTGAAAATATTGATTGGTTTTATAATAACTCTAGAGCAAGGGCTCCGCCTTGGAAAAGTAGGTTGAAACACCATTATGATCAATGTCTAACATGTAAAGAAACAATTTACATTATAAAGTCTGTTGTTGGAGTTTTAGGGTCAATAGAAAGGTCTAAGATAAATGTTATTACCTGAAGATGATAATGTAACGGAGGAAAGGGAATAATTTTAAGTTTAAATGTAGGTTAAATTCCCCTTATCCTCAACTAAAACAGTAGTTATTCCTGATCGTATTACTATAGAGAGCTTTTAGTATCCAATGCAATAGAAATATTAATTATAAGTTCATGTCTATTACTGTACCAGGAGACCACCAATTGATCGATAAATTACTTTATCATCATACATACGACATTGTTTTACAATTAACCAGGTAATATACGAGACTACTTCTTATGGTATATAGGCTACTCTTGTACCATTAATTATTTTTTATATCTTTCAGTCAATATTACAGTCAATGTAAGTCGTCAGATACATTGTATGAATCAGACTAAAACCTAACACAAATAAAAACAATTTTTAACAATGTTTAAAATTACAAAAGTTGTATCCTCTTTAACCTTACCTACAGTTAATGGTTTAACTGAAACAGCTGTGTAGCAAAAACTAACTAAATTCATATAATGTAAAAAGTCTTGATCAAGTGCAAATTTAGGTTATTTAAATGAAAGTAAATATTTTGAAAATATCGTGGGGAGACTCAAACGTAACCTTGCATGAAAGAAAGATAGAAGATTTGTCTTTTTAATAATTATTTACACTTGTTGAAAAAAAAACACTTTATGTTCAATATCCTCTCTTTACAATACTTTCTATATCCCGGATAATCTTATCCGGTTAAAAAAGCGCTACGAAAAAGGCAAGCTAAGATTTGTTCTTCTTTAAACTGTCGTTGTAAGATATCTAGTGTTATTGAATTTCTATTATATGTTTTTTGATAGATTTTTTACAGGATATTAACAGTACAGATATTCACACGTAACTATTTTGTTTCAGTTCAACCATATTTTTCACTTTAAAGATACAACCTTCAAAAAGAAATTTTCCTGATGAAACTTTCAATCAACTACACATCGATCTTAGCCTACAGAGCTTACTTCAGTTCCTACATGTAGAGTCCCCAAGTTGAGAGCAAGATAAGAGTGACTTTGGCAATGAGATAGGATTAGTAAGAGTGAGATAATACTCCATTGTCACATAACGTGGCAAGAGCTGATAACACATTGCCACAGGTGTTGTGTGGCCAGCTGTGACGGCTAGCAGGTTCCACAATAAAATGGTGAGTACCGGAATAGACTGAGAAACAAAGTAAACATAAAACATCATGATAGTTAATAACATAATGCATCACATTACTGTGAATATATTAACAAACATGTTTAAGCCAAATTTAACCAAATTTAAAATTATATATTTCATCTGTATTCTAAAATACACTAAGTTTATAGTTGATACTGGCACAAATAATACGAACAAGTCTCTTACTGCTCAAGAATCGCTGTTGCAGGTCAAATATACGGTGTTTTGGTTGTACGACCTAATTTCACTAAATTATATTATTATAAAAGTAAAAAGCAAAACACATTCATATAAAAAAGTGTTAAACATACATAAACCAACATTTAATTTACACGTTATACTAGAATTAATAATTAGAAAATTTTTACGTAGAGTAATTTGAGCGGTTTTTCCCAATCAGTTTTACATTTCTATATACTGTAATAACTATATTTTTATCCAGTTAATGTGTTAGCTCAGTCTAACTGTTTGGTTTAGTTAAATTAACATTTTACCTACGACGATTATAAACGACAGCTCTCAAAATTCAACCTCGGCTTAAGTATTGCACAATAACTCTTGAAAGATAACAAGTTTAAAAATCAAGGAAAGCTCTCATAACTTAACTATTAATTTTCCATTGCACAATAAGTATTACCTTGTTGATAAGTATACCTAACTCTATGCGCATCCTGAATACGCGTATTTCCGGGTTCAATACAGGGCTTTAAATGGGTTATGATAACCCATAAAGCTCTGAGATTAATGCACATAAAAACTTTATATAAAAAAATCACAAGCTAATTACTTGCTGCAAGTCATAAGATCAAGTTTTCGTTGTGAATAAGTAAAAAATTGAAAATTTAATTGATAATTAGCTCAGTATGAAAACTTTTCCGTATTCAGAATGTTCGTTATTATTTTTACCTATTTCCATCGTAAACATTTACTAATATTGACTGTTTTCAGACAATAAACGCTGTGATTTTGCTCACAACACTCCTTATGGTGGTGTATACTGTCAATACTGCCAGAATCTTGGCACTATTGCCTATAGGAGCCAAGAGCCATCACAGGTTTATGCAGCCAGTGGCCATAACGTTGGCCCGTGCTGGGCATGAAGTTGTCCTCTACAGTCCGTTTCCTACACTGTTGGACGACCAGCCAGCGAACCTGACCCACGTTCTAGTCAGTAACGTGCAAGTGGTGGACCAGAGTGAAGATAGTAAGTTACCATAACCTAGAATAATTAGGCAGTATGTACTGTAATATAAAATATTACAGAGTGGTGGTAAACTATACTGAAAGGACTAACTACTGCACTTTATTATTTATTTAAATTTCGTTGCAGAGTATAGCCATTCAGAAAAAAAAAATAGAGTATTGATAGATATGAGTGTAGAGATTAAGTAAGCAATAGTAGACTTGTGCAGAGATAAGGTGGTAGATTTTGCAGTTACGATATACTACTACTTTAGTGTAAAAAAGTACAAATTTTCATACTGGAGTACAAAGAGTCGCACTAGAGTTAGTAGGTGTTCAGTTCACAGTAGGTAGTTCGAAATTGGATTACGAAGTTTTACAGATCAGCTTTGTCATCGTATTCACAGTAATCATAGGCTATAAGAACTGGAAAGGAAACGTAACTTCGCTTAAATAAGATGATGATTCAAGTCCGTCATTAGATAAGCATTGGTTAGTGAAGACTTGAGCTGACGGCTGATGAAACCAAGAACGTCACGAATCAAAATACAAATGAAGAATCCCGACGTTGAAACCCCAAGATTGTTTGAAACCTTCTACTGGTGGGGATTCGAGGAAGATCGATTAGTATCGAAGACCAAAGTGGAGTTTGTTGTGTAGTTTATAACATTGTTTATGCTACTAAAAGAAAATGCATACGTATAGAGCTATAAGTGACATAAATACACGAGGCTAGGTGTTTAAAGCTTGTCTAGTTGGATGACTGATCATACAGTTGTGAAGCATAAGCATTTTGCCCGGGTAAATCCGTGACTTTGGATGGTTCATTGACTATAACTTCCCACTTTGTGATCCCACGCCATTTTTCGGCTTTCATAGAATCTTTTTATGCCCTTGAATATTATTATCTATAGTTGACCAAATATGTATAAATCAGCGTGGCTACATTTAGTGCGTAGTTTCGTTTATTGAAGAAAACTTTAAATTTTATGTTTTACTACTAAGAGTATTTACAAGTAGTTTGTGCACTTACCTTAACTCTTATTTCAGTGCAAAAGTTTATTCAAACCATCACTGAATTTCCATTCTGGAAGTGCTTGGACCTGCAGTGGGAGTTCTCCTACAACTTCTACCAGGAAGTCATGGGCGATGAGAAGATAAAACAACTCTACAACTCAAACGAAAAATTTGACTTGATACTAACAGAAACCTTTACCGGTCAGGAGTTCACTCTTATTTTGTCAAAGAAGTTCAACGCGCCAGTCATCGGAATTCAAGCGTTCCCTACTAACAACATAGCAAACAGTTTCCTAGGGAATTCGTTATCCCTGAGTCACATCCCGGATACTTGCACAGTTTTCTCCAACAAGATGACGTTTGTAGAGAGACTGTTGAATGTTTTCGCCAGCGTGAGAGGACTTTACTACCATTATAATTACTACATCCCCAATCTAGAGGCGTTGATGAGGCAGGACCTCCCTGACGCTCCTTCAGTGGCAGAGTTGGCAGGTTCAGTGTCGTTGATGTTTATCAATGATCATTTGACAGCGGAGTACGCTCACCCGAGAACACCCAACATGATACCTGTTGCTGGGTTGCATATTGCACCACCAAAACCATTGCCAAAGGTGAGACTGTTATACTAGACCACGAATAACGCTCTTGACTTATAAGGTGTTGATAATGAGGAAAGATAAGAACTATTTTACTACTTCGAATGTGGGAAATCTTTGTTTGCAATCATTGGGCTACATTGATACTAGCTATAAGCAGAACCTTGACTCTGCAAAAATACTTTGATTTTAATATGATAAACAATATAGTCGTTCACCAGAACAACATTCAACCAAAACAAATTAATATTTAAATTTAACTAAGATTTTGTATTCTTATAATGATACTTACATGTCAATAACAATTCAAGCTTAAAAGTTTATACAAAAACATAATTAAAGTTAGCTTCATTTAAAACCCTAAATCATACCATCATTTTACGGTTTTACCAAGACATAATTTCAGGGCATTTAACAATATTGTAGCTTGAAAAAAATAATGTTTACTTTTTTTCAGGACATTCAAAGGTTTATGGACGAAGCAACGGATGGTGTTATTTTCTACAGTCTTGGAACATATGTTTTGGATGAACTCCAGCCTAAGGAATATTTCGATATGCACAACCAAGTCTTCAGTAAGCTGAAACAGAGGGTACTATGGAAAACAAGGAAAGAGGGAATACAAGGGTTGCCACCCAACGTAATGACTGTGAAATGGGCTCCACAACAAGACATTTTGGGTAAATATAAATTGCTTGAAAATATATAATTTGTCTTATGAAAAAAATCCTTAGATCATTTATAATTCTATAAAGTGGATGTTTCTTCCCAATAGGTGAGTCGGTAGCGCAACGGACTTCGGATCCAAAGCAGTGATGCATTGGATTAGGATCCGGGTACATACTAATTTTTATCAGCACAGATCACCCTTGTACTCACCTGTTTTTTGGATTCGTTCTAAGCACACACCTCTGTGGCACACGTGGACGTGCAAATGCAAGGTTGAATGAAGCCACCAAACGACTGTTTTAGAATCAAATTATAACGTTTCAGAAAAATAAGTATAGATTTATTTCAGCTACCGTTAATGTGTAATAAGGTAAAATTAATTTACTTTTAACAAGGACAACTGGTTGGGCCCTATATTTAACTCCATTGATGTATGACTGGCATGAACTAGTTATAACTTCAAAAGAAACTCTAAGTATTTTAATGTTCCAATGATAGTGTTGTTTTTCCTTCATGCTGAAGAAAATTTGTAAGTCAACTACTTTTAGGGATAGCTGGCTTTCTACCTTACATTTGTACATCACGAAAGAGCCTATAAAGGTTAACAATACATTACACACAAGTGTTTAACGTTTTCTCTGTTTCTAGTGTAAACATCCCAAATTGCAGCTTCTCTTTCTCAGACATCAATGAAAATTCGAAAGCCTCTGACCACGATATCTGTCCATCTGTTAAGTTAAAGGTGCTGTAAATCTTAAACCGGACTAAAGCTCCGGAGGTTGACAACCCGAAAAGAAGAGGCTTTATTACTCTTGTCTATTATGATTTAAAAATATGGTATCCTTTGCCTTCATTCAGGTGACAAACATTTGGTTTGTGTAGGGAAATTCTTAATCAATGTGACATTAATGTAACCTGATGTTTTGGAGCACACATATGTGTAGGTTTACCTATCCAGCAAGTGATAAGTGAGATTTATGTACCAACCAAAAGACAAGCCTTTATATTTTCTACCATAACCAATATTCAATGTTTTAGGCCACCCAAAATGTGTGTTATTTATAACCCATGGGGGTCAGCTCAGTAAAGTGGAAGCTCTCCACTTTGGCGTTCCCGTTGTTTCCATTGCTCAGTTCTACGACCAACACCAGAACTCAGAGTTTTACGTCCAAAAAGGGGTCGGAGTGAAGATAGCTAGGACGGATGTATCAGGGGAAACCATGTCAGCCGCGATACGAGAGGTTCTTGGCAAAAGAAGGTAGGTTTCCAACCGTTGTAAAAGTTAAGCTGTTGAAATTTTTATGGAATGTTGTAATACATTTTGTTGAGAAATCGTTGAGTGGGTATAGCTGTATTTTGATTCTAAACTAGCAGATTGCAGTTATTTTGTTTCTTCCTGTAAACTGCTTCAACTTTTGAATAAAAAAAATAGCAGTAGTGTATAGTTAACCTTAAACATATAAATACACTTTTAAAAATTACAGCTAAGTTACGACCAACTTGCATATACAACTGTAAAACAAGAAAAATAGCTGTGTTACTGTAGGATCAACTTATCATCAGAGTTAAAGCCAAGTCACAAGAACCATGGATAGTATCTAGTTCAACGCTATTTGCAGATGAGGTCTAGAAAATCACTACTATATTCCTTAACAAATTTGCAACAGCAACAACATATGCTATTAGTTAACATCCCTTGCACAGTTACAGAGACAACATGAAGAAGTTGTCCACGGTATTCAGAGATCGGCCGATGTCTCCTGCGGAGTCTGTCGTGTTCTGGACGGAGTACGTGTTGAGACACGGCGGAGCTCCGCATCTGAGGCCAGCCTCTACTGAGCTGCGATGGTATCAGCTTATACAGTTGTATACAATAGTTGACACTTCTTGTACAGTTGTAGAGACAACATGAAGAAGTTGTCCGCGGTATTCAGAGATCGGCCGATGTCTCCTGCGGAGTCTGTCGTGTTCTGGACGGAGTACGTGTTGAGACACGGCGGAGCTCCACATCTGAGGCCAGCCTCTACTGAGCTTCGATGGTATCAGCTTATACATTTGTATACAATAGTTGACACTTCTTGTACAGTTACAGAGACAACATGAAGAAGTTGTCCGCGGTATTCAGAGATCGGCCGATGTCTCCTGCGGAGTCTGTCGTGTTCTGGACGGAGTACGTGTTGAGACACGGCGGAGCTCCACATCTGAGGCCAGCCTCTACTGAGCTTCGATGGTATCAGCTTATACATTTGTATACAATAGTTGACACTTCTTGTACAGTTACAGAGACAACATGAAGAAGTTGTCCGCGGTATTCAGAGATCGGCCGATGTCTCCTGCGGAGTCTGTCGTGTTCTGGACGGAGTACGTGTTGAGACACGGCGGAGCTCCACATCTGAGGCCAGCCTCTACTGAGCTGCGATGGTATCAGCTAATACTACTGGATTTAATAATAACTGTCATCTTTGTAATAAGCACAGTAATGATTCTAGTATATACATTGGCTAAGAGGTTATTAAATGTGTTCACAGTTAAAAGTATTAAGTCAAAGAAGAAAATAAACTAATCTCCTAATTTGAAGCTCTTACCTTTTTAATACTTAAGTACCGTACGTTACCCATCCTAACATTTTTAATTTTCTTAAACTCATTCTTAAATAATCTTAAACATAAATTAATTTTCTCTGTGCCCTCTTTTAATGGGGTTTTGCTTTTAAATGTGTCCAAGTGTTGAAGTTATTTACACTCTCAGTTTTTTTTTTTTTTTTTTTTACTTGGGATGATTGGTAGGTTAATAAAGAGTGCTAGAATAGGCACAAAAATGTTAGTTGACCATACATTGATTCAATAGAAAAGCTTCAAGAAGTTCGTCAGGACACTCTGCTTATGTCTTAGCAGAAGTACGTTCTTTTTTATTTTGAATCAGGCATCTCTCTATACAAATATGAGATTTTACGCAGTTTTGAACAAAACTGACATCACTGTATCATGGCGTTGCTATGGTTTCCATTTCAAACACTACCTACGTGAGTGTAATGAAATACGTGCGATGATATTCCTTTATCTACCTGTTACAGGTGTAACACAAAAAGAACAAAACTGTTTACACAACATCCCTAAATGTAAATCCAATAATATTGATATCAATAGTATTTTAAAGGTAAGCATGTTGAAAAAAGGAACACATTCTAGTCCTGTGTATGAAACTTACCCAGGTATATTTATCGAAAGCTGTATAACTGGATCTAGTATTTAACCATTAGAAAGCTTTAGAAGAGATTTATATTATTATTGCAATAAATAAGTACGAATGTAATAGAAGATACTTTACAAGCTTAGATAACTGTGTTCACCCATGGGGGAATATATATATTTAGATTTAGACCAATTTAATGAATTAATGTATATTCGTAGGTATCTTGGTTTTAGGATGGCTAGGAAAGTATTTCTGTGTGACTTAAATAAATTGTAAGTGAAAGTGTTAAAGCTTATGTAAATGACGAGTAAAATAAAAATACTAATTCTACACCCAAAGTCTCACAGTATTTCTTATGGATGAGAAGCGATAAAAATAAAGGCCCAGGGTATAAAAGAGATGACAGTTCCAGACAGTAAAGTCACAGTTTATAGTCACCCGAGTCCCTACTTTCTTATTCACTCAACGATTTCCTGAGGCTCTGATTTGATATATTTGTTTTCATACAACTGGATTGTGAATAGAAAAGTCACTATTTAATTTACGGTTGGTAGTTTTGCAATTGATTTTCAAGTTTTTATTCATGTGATTATATAAAGAATATTTCTATAAAACAAAATAAAACTGACAGGGAACTAGAGGAAATATTTGCTACGAGCTGAAAAAAATTATCATAGAATTATCCAGATGAGGTAAAAAAATCGAATGACATTTACCTTATAACAACTCCTAAAACAAAGAGTATTTGAAAATTCAACATTAGCCATCTACAGAATATCATGATTAATAAATCCTATTTTGGTAATACAAACCTACATTTGATTACATCTGATGACATGATTAGTTTATTTTAATTAACTATTAACCTATGATATGTTTTGCCTCAAGCTATTTCAATTCATTTACTGCAACTAGGAAATCACCGAGTGTATTTTATTTGCTTTGCTGCAAATCTGTTTGGTAACTCAATTATTCCTGTTCAAAATTTTGTTTAACTAACAGAGATATAAATATAACTGAATCGTCGTATTTGTAATATTTAATTCATAAACATCTAGAGTTTTTCTATGTATCGATTGTTTGAACAAAGATTATCGTTGCAGTATTTTATTACACAACCATAAACATGTAAGGCAAATTTTTGCTGCTTAATTTATCACGTCAAACACCTGGCGTTTTGATATTTAAAAGCAATTTATACATAAAAAAATTACTAAATTATGAATTAATCGAGTTGATTTTATTTGGGTTCTATGATGTATCCAAAAAATAGCATGGGAATTTAAGAAATTATTTTAGTAACGATTAATGTTCATTCGATCATAATAAAATGGGTTTCACCAATGACTACAGTATTTCATAAAATACATGTCTTAAGTTATAAAACTTAATAAATAAGTCGCTATAATATTCATGTTGTCTTGTTTGACTTGATTGTCACCTACAAGCAATAATGATCAATAAAGTTGAAGGTGAGAACCAAATTAATGTGACAACGTATAGTCTCTAATTAACTTATAACTTCGCCACCACCAACACATGTTGTGCCATAATTGTATTACATGTTTACCTTACCGAGTCCTATATAGCATAATAAATATATACACCGGCCTGAATATTAATAAGCAATATTCAAAGAATCATATAGCAAATAATAATTTTTGAGTCTACCAATAATAATTCCCAAATACTCATATAATCATTTTTATGATTCTTTAAAGGATGAAATTATATTTACAGCCTGTGCACTTTAACATATACTTTTAACACTCTAATTTATATTTTCAATGAAGAGTTGAAGTTAAAAAGAGTTTTTTTTTTATTCCAAAACGTATTTTTAATTTCTATTAAAAGTTAGGTGTAGTCAGTTTTATGTTAAAATGAACGTTGAAAATGAAGTTGTATTTAACCACCAACAGTGGGTTTCTGTGGTAAACATTTTACAATCAAACAAAAATGAAATCATAAGTAATTGTAATCCGTCCCATATTTTCTTTTTTACATTTATTTAATCATAAGTACGAGATTTATTCATAACTTTATTATAACATTAATTCATTCATAATTCAATATTAATTCGTAGTAAAAATCTTTTTTCAACAGGAAATACTTTATTTTAACATTTAATAATTAACTTACTAACCTTTTGCAACTGAATGATTTTTTTCATTTTAATTGAAAGATTTCATTTTATTATTTAGTTTATACCTAAACTAGGAAACCACAAACGAATAAGTTTAACGTAAAGCTCAATCTCGTAAGTATTTGATTCTCGCGTGATATTTTTGTGACGGCGGAGGGAGTTTGGGTTTGATCTCAGACAAGTTGAATCCAAGAAAAACGTACTCAAGGGTGTTGTGTGGGTTATAAAAGTTGTACAGTACCAAATATTTACCCCCTACGTAGCTGTTCTATAAAGCAAAATCGTATCTTTTTAGTTGTAATTATTGGTAGAATATGCAGGTTGTCAAATAAAAAACGTTGGCCAGATGTAATTCTATGTAATTAAAATTTATTGAAAGAAGATAGGTTACCATGTGTTCCTTTGCAATATAATTGTCGTGGTTTTCCCAATAAAGAGTACCTAATATTTTTTGACCCGTTTAGATTTAACAGTACAATGACTTGATGATGCAAGGTACTGATAAAAATGATTCAGTCACTTGATCCTTTTTTAAACTAACATATGAACATTTTTTCTTGCTTGAAGCTCTTCCAAAAAACATAAAAATGTTAACTGTTTATTAATGAAATTTAAATAATGCTAATTTGCATTATAATAGTTTCAAGGAGTTTGGTTTTTGAATTTAAAAAATCCTCTTTTTAGTTTTCGTTAATCGAGTTACCTTTTTCTACAAAATGGCACAAATATTATTATATTTATCACTCATGTTTTGTTTGAAAATTTGAAAATGAAAAATATAAAAAGTACTTATAGATACCGGTAAAACACCCACGTATGGTTTTATTTATTTACCAGAGTATCATTTTTCTTGTTATAATACTTGTAATTATTTTGCAATTTTCCCATTGTTTGTAATTGTTAATATTTTTTCATACTTTAAATTTTATTCGTTGACGAATTAAATGTTTGTCATCACATTTTATTAGAAGTTTGTATAGTTAAATTTCCGTGTGTTGATGTTTTCCTTTTCATGTTTTGTCACCTACAATAAAATTATGTCTTATCAATGATGCGTTTTGTCATACTTGTTCATTTTTAGTACTGGTAATTTTTTTATATGTAATAACCAGCCATCGAAAGAATCAAGAAGATTGTCTTAATAAAGGGGTGAGGGTAAAATCCAGAATATGGAAAGTGTGGTATATTTTTCAAGTAAAGTTTTCTAATGTTAACTATGACTTTGTGATAAATAGTGAAGTATTTTAAAAGAAACAAAACATTGATCAGTAAACTTATTCAACAAATGCATACAATTGACTATACACAGAATGTGACTATAATTTTGTGTATAGTCAATGATACAATATACCAGCGATGGTTGCTGAAAGGAAAAATGGAATGTTCTAATAATGTTTTTATATTTCATTTTTTATACTATAGAACGTGTGGACCCCTCTGAAGAAGGACCGTTTGTTTTAGTGAGTTATTTGGTACCAAGGACGTGCGGGGACTCCATGGCATATATCACAGACCTCTGAAGATTCCCTGGTAGTACTTTGTTAGAGAGGGGTTTTGAACCAGAAAGAAATACAAAGTATAAAACGTCTTGTAATTAGATCAATTTTGTGGGTTTATGGTATAATTTTTAACCTGAAGGTTTAGCAATAACCATGTTTGGTTTAGTGTCAAAAAACATATTCCTTTTAGAAAAAATCTGTTTTGCCATTTGACTACTTTAAAATATACAATTTTGCAACCTTTCGTATACATATACAATTACAGTAGTTTTGTAACATCAAAATATATGAATAATTTACTTAAATTTATAATAATCTATGTATAATAATTGTGTTGGACATTGTATTGATTTAAAAATATGCTACATACAATTTACATGGAAAAATTTACTATTTTAAAGTGCAGTGTTTGATTGTTAAAATTGCTGAATTGATAATGAATGTCACCTTGAAGCAAAATTATGATCAATTAAGTTGAGATGAGAACCAAATTAATTTGACAGCGCTGTTTGTTGTAACCTCAACATTACACTGTGGTGAAATTTAATTACGTATATTACCTTATTAAATGTTCTCCACTGTAAAGGAGACACCAAACAACGAAAAGTGAGAAATATTGCACCATTTAGAAACAATAATTCTACAATGGTTATAATTTAAAAAGAATGAGCCCAGAATGTGCTATACGTTAAACAAATCTTCGCCATCAATGTATTGCTGTTAGAGAACATTGATAACTGTTGGTATGTTTTGTAATTTTAACGTCAATACCTTCAGACACTGCCAGAGTCCAAATGCCAAATTGCAACCCAGGTGTAATCATCAGCTATGTAATCGTTATAAGTCAAATGGCAGTCAACTTAAAAGTGGCTGACCCTTGGGTTGCTGGAATTTCAACTTGTAGCGTATGGCATTTACTCCCAGAAAAACCTACAAACAATGATTTTACCATCCTGCATACCAACCCCTCAAAAACAAGGAACAGTATTCTCAAGAATTGGGAATCCTACTCATGCCTAGCAACTTACGCTAGGCAATCGAAACTAATAAATGAACAAAAACTCTGAAATTCTAACTAATGGGCACCGAATTAGTTAAGTCAGAAAAAATAATAAAGAGTCTTTGAAAATTCATTTCATTTAAGCTTTTTCTTTACAGAAGGACCTTGTCTATTACTGCTAAACAAACGAGCGTATAAAAAGTTAACTGTAACAAATAATAATAAAACTACGAGGATTACAATTGTTAAAACACATGATAATACATCCAGTAGTATCAGCTGATACCATCGCAGCTCAGTAGAGGCTGGCCGCAGATGTGGAGCTCCGCCGTGCCTCAACACGTACTCCGTCCAGAACACGACAGACTTCGCAGGAGACATCGGCCGATCTCTGAATACCGCGGACAACTTCTTCATTCTGTCTCTGTAACTGTACAAGAAGTGTCAACCATTGTATACAACTGTATCAGCTGATACCATCGCAGCTTAGTAGAGGCTGGCCTCAGATGTGGAGCTCCGCCGTGTCTCAACAAGTACTCCGTCCAGAACACGACAGACTCCGCAGGAGACATCAGCCGGTTTTTGAATACCGCGGTTGTCTCTAACTGTAAAAGATGTTGAGGCGTCGAGAGGCCAAGGGAGATATGTGACTTTTAAAAAAATGTTGTCATGGTAACGGGTTTTGTTAAAAAAGGGTGGAATTTCAACAAATAATTCACTAATATCCCTTGGCCTCCAAACTAAACACCTAAGAGTTGGAAGCCAAGGGGTGTAAGTGAATTTATTTTTATTTTTATTTTATTTTTTATGACTATGAAAAAAATACAATGACATTTTTTTTAAAGTCACATATCTCCCTTGGCCTCTCGACGCCTCGTATCAACTATTGTTTTGATACTTTTCAGTTTATGCTCAGCAATATTCTTTCTGTGTAGTATAGTAAAAACTAGCTGAGTACCCGTCCTTTGTACGGGGTTGGTATACATTGCTTATTGTAGTTAAATACTCCTGCATTGCATTTGCAATGAGAGAAGAAACGTTTTGAGAAAATTTGGTTTACTATAATCTACGGTATACTATAGTATATAGAACATCTACCATAGCCATAATGTTCTACCACTTTACCTAAACAATAGAAAGAAGTAAAGTTCTCACACTCAGGTTTTTGTTGCTGCTTGGTTCAAATTAGCTGTTGTCATACATGTATAAAGAACTAATGGTGCTGCACCCTGTTGGTAAACCGTATAACCTTTTAATGCAATTGAATATCATAGAAACAAATTGTGTAGTTGAAACAGCTGGCAAAATTATTTAATTCCTTTTTAAATATGAATACTCATAAGGTTAACATGGGAAACCCTAGAGCCGCTGGGGTGGAGCCCGAAAGGATTTTTCAGGTAAGAATATGTCTATATGTTAATCGGGAATGTGAGCTATCATTATACTAAATTTCAACGCAATCCGACCAGTAGTTAATGCGTGATTGAACTCAAACAAACAAACACCCAAACTTTCACATTTATAATATTAGTATGATAATACAACTTTAATTATTGTTTATATTGCTGAAAGATATTATCCCTTATTCGGATAAAAAATAAATTAGTAATATAAATATAATTTTGAGCACACTGATAAAGCTGAGAAAATACTTTCCATGGATATAGATGCATAAAGTGTTTTGCTTTGGTGATTTTGGACCTAATCGCACTTGAAATTTAGTGAGTGTAGGAGTTTTGCCAACGGGTATAAGGTTAAAAGGGTCCTCATCCGCGAATTCCTCATACTGCGGAGTTTTGCCATCGGTTGGGGTTGGGCGCGAGAGGGGGAGGGGGAGAAAGAGAGATTACACATGACCATGAGGGTGGATTCCGCTAGGGGTGGACAAACCAGCCAGGATGCTACTGTAATTAATCTGCCTAATACCTAACCTAACGTAACCTAACCTAACCTAACCTCATACATTTCCTCCCACTGCGACGAGCGCATAGCTGCATTCCTATGAACGCGGTCATCACCCTGGTCGTCAACCTCAAGCGTAGACAACCCTGACTCTCTCCCTCCCTCACACACTCTTTCTCCCGCCCCCACCGTTGGCAAATCTCCGCACCAAGAGGTGGCCGACGGCATTCCCCCCATCTACCCGACACCCGTTTGTAAAACTCCGGTTCCCAAATATAGTCAATGATTGGGATCTTACCTGGGATTGTCTAGCACCTTTCTTATAGCTGCGGAAATAGTTTTTTCCGAGAGATCTTCAGTTTCAATTTTGACTCCTACTCCTTGCTCTTCGAAAAACTTGACATTTCTGTGCTGATCAAAGAACTGAGGGATGCCGATGACACAGACGCCGAAGTGAATTGCCTCGTGTTGGCTGTGAAGACCTCCGTGAGTGATGAACAGGACACAGTTGGGATGCGCTGAAGAAAATTTCAGTTAAAAGATTGAAAAGCTGGCAAAATCGCTTGTTTATAAGTAGCTTCCAACGCTTTATCCATAAGGTAGATAAACATAACGATAGAGTGTCACTATCTCAGTTAGGAGTCTAACAGACTAAAGCTCTAAAACATCAACGTCGTAAGTTTAAATCCCAAATGCCGCCCCTAATCTTCATACAGTTAATAATTATCCTGCTGTATCGGATCACCATTGGCTTTGCTGGTTGTGTTGCATACACAAGCCCTCATGTCCACGTCCATATGCACGAGCAATTGCAAGGTTTTAAGAACTGGCCAATCATAAAAATAAATAAATAAATAAAAAATTAAAATCATTTTTGACATTTCCATACCTTTTAGGGTAAGTGGATAAATATCAATATCCACGGTACGACATTATTACTATTCGGTATACTCTATGTTATTTGGTGATTATTTGGAAGCTTCATCCATTAATCTAAATCAGCCAAACCTACACAATTTAAATCTTCTTAAGTTCCGAGAAACTTATGTTATGTCAAATATTCAAGTCAGAATATCCATCAATGTTAACAATAAATTATGCAAAGGTCATTGTCTAAATTTAACCCCAGAGCCTGACATTAAAACATATCCTTAACGAACAAAACAACACGTTTTCCCATATTCTTTCTAACTTTGTTAAAAAAAAAAAAAAAAAAAAAAAAAAAAAAAAAAAAAAAAACACAGCCTTAAACACAATAATTTTTTTATGATAACTTTATGATCGATTTTGTATAATTTATCATATTCTTTTTTCAAATAATTACCTACATATTACTTACCCAAAATATCTTGTTGTGGAGCCCAGTATAACGTCATCACGTTTTTCGGCAGTCCAAGTATATTCTCCTTCCTGGTTTTCCATATTACCCTCTGTTTCAGCCTTCTGAACACATTGTTATACATGTCAAAGTACTCTTGGGGTTGAAGTTCGTCTTGAACATACGTTCCTAAACTGAAGAGAATCAATCCGTCTTTGGCGTCGTCTGCAAACTTCTGAATATCCTATAAATTCAAGTTTGATTATATTTAATTCAATACGAAGAAAATACTGGCCCTACCTAGTTAATGTAGCTAAAACAAACATATTTTAAGTTTTTCAACTTATTATCTGACCGTTAACTATTATAATCTTAGCTGTCTTTGTAGCAAAAAAATCAACAATATCGATAATCAAAGTTAATTGTGTGTATTGAACCATGTTGAACGTAACCATTTGGGCATATTATAAATTTGAAATATATGTGTTATTTGAAAAATAAATTGCTTAGATTTAACGGCCATATTTCTTCACATTCCTCTTAATAAATTTGCGGACTGGTTCGGTGAGATACATTTGAAGAAAAATTAGATTGGTTGAAACCAAAAGAAATAAATGGGCCTCTTATCTTTTTGTAAAATACGACACATGAGCAAAAACTATGTTTTGCTCATATGCATCTCACCCAACATTTTTGCAATATTACTTTATTTTTAATACAATAATCCCAAAAAACATCATTGAAGCACCTAATAATAGAACAGTATATCATATTAAAATCATAACACTGTAACCGAAATTTTACTATTATACTTTAGAACACATACTCCCTCAGTAAACCTAAGCAAATCAGTTATTATTTCATCAAGTAAACAAATAGTAAATCGTAATTGTAAAACACTGAAAAAGTAAATCAAAGAAAGGGGGGGCCGTTACATTTAATTAAATTTGAATTAATTTTAATTGCTTAAACCATTCAGTATTGTTAGCTACCTGAGGCAGAGGCTGTGTGGGTTGTATGTGAAGTCCTCCAACAGGTATGATGTTCGGAGGCCTCGGTATTGCGTAGTCTGCAGTCAGGTGATCGTTTACAAACATCATCGCCACACCTTTGCTCATCTCCTCCAGCGAAGGCATGTCAGGAAAATCTTTCCTCATCATTTCCTCTAAACCATGAATCTGACGGTTGTAATAGTAGTACAAATCTCTCAAAGTTGCGAATGAGTTAAGTAGCTTTTGAGTGAACGTCATTTTGTCAGAGAAAGGAGCACATACCCCAGGAGAGAAGGATAATGAGAGACTATTCCCCGCTTGACTGTTGATGACGTGGTTCGTGGGGAAGGCTTGGAGAGCGATGGTGGGTACTTTGAGCTTGTGGGCAAGCAAGAGTGTGTATTCTTGACCTGAGAAGCCCTCGGTTATGATCAGATCAAACCTCTCTGTTGACTTGAGGAGTTGTTTTATCTTAGGGTCCCCGATGAACTCCCGATACATCGTCTCGTAGATTTGAAGCATAGCGTCGAAACATTTGTAGTGAGGCTGTTGTGCCAGGAATAGAAACCAGTTGGTGACTGAGGTGAGAAAAAGATTTGTTAGTACCTCAAAATTAGTTCGGATTGTTGTAAAAGGAATAATTATTGAGCTCTTACAGACATTGCATTTTCTTATGTATACCAAAAAGTAAAATTTTGGGTATGCTGCTATCATTGCTTTCAGCCTTTACTAGGTTTTTCACCTAACCATACATTTGCTTTAAGGCTTAAGAGAACAGAAATGGACGAGAGGTTTTGTATCATTCTTTGCTATTAACTTTCATGAACGTGATTTAGTTCATGGATTATAAGGTATCATATAAATAATATTTGAAGAATTGCAATTTTACAGTATCTTAAAAATGTCTGTTTCTTAATAATATACATTTATTAAAACTGCAAACAATTGTCCACGGCCATAAATAATCGCATAATATTCCGTATGGATCTATACATAACAAACTATTTGGACGACAGCCAAAATCCGTGTTGGTTCGTTAGCCAAAGATTTTTAAATGCATAACATACCCAGAACTCATAAGCGATAGCTGAGTTCAACCTAAATGCATGAAAAGAAGATAAGCCTCTCTTGAACATATATTTCACTCTAGGATTTTTAAACTAGGCTACCAAGTTTTAGACTTACGTTCTTCACTCTCGGTTTTGATGTTCGCTAGATGGACGTCGGTGTAGTTGGGTGGGGGGTTGTCCAGGGGGAAGGGGCTGTAGACAGTGACGTCATGTCCAGCCTCTGCCAAGGCTCTCATCACAGGCTGTAGAAATCTGTGGTGACTTCGTGCCCACATGGGCAGCAGGCCAAGGATACGAGCGGAGTCCGAGGCACAGATAGCCAGGAAGAGGAAAAAAAGTGGCTGTTCTAAAACAACAGGAGTTTTAATATTGTTATGTATTATTAGGGGTATTGTACACTACAATAATTATTGTAGATCGAAAAAAAAGCTGATAAATTATTTGAGAAGGTGTGAAAATGAACTGTGGCGAGCGTTTTTAACAATATTACAACACTTTTCCGTTTTTCACTACTTATAGGCCTATATCGTTATATGACTCATTTTATACAACTGCTTCATCATAGAATAGTCAAAACCACACATTACACATTAAAATATTGTTATCCAAATAAAACAATTTATACAAACACCATCAAGATAAGAGGAAGGTTACGTTCAGAATATTTACCTATGTATACCGTGATGTATACAACTTCCTTACTTCTCGAGTGATGTAAAGTAAAAAAAACTCACTCGGTGATGTAATGAAACCCATTTAAATAACATTGAGTGCTTAACTTAAAAAAATATACCTCTATGGAGGCATCGACGTTCAAAGCTAGAAATCAGCTGTGCGCTTGAATGTTATTGTTATGCTTTAAAGTATTTTCCTAACCTAGCTTTTGTTTGTAGTTACTGTTAGACGATGAGTGAAATGGATAATGAAAAATATTGTACGTAAACCCATGTATATTGTCGGGTCAGGTAAAATCTTGTACGTTACACGTTGCGCAAGAGCGTGTTTACATCTCTTAGGTGAATTATGCAACTCGCTTCCGCTCGTTGCACAACATTCACCTGCGTGATGTAAAAACGCTCTTACTACACTTGTAATGTAAATAGCTATTAATGACCATGTGATGACGCTGCACTAGCACTAGAGAATAGGCGATCAACTGATTACATTAATCTATGGAGTCTAATGTTTATCAGTTTATCATATTTTGTTAAGTTGGGTTAATTAATATGTATACAAATGAGACAAATAGTTTTTAAATTGTTGTTGTGCATTATCTTAGTGTAGTTAATAACTGTACTTATTTTTTTACTGTAAGTGTATTTATTATACAAGTAGTTTATTGTTACAGCTAATCCTACTAATATTATAAATGAGAAAGTTTGGATGTATGTTTGTGACAAGTAAACGCGAAAAATACTGTTCGGATTGGGCTGAAATTTGGCATTATGATAGCTCACATTCCCGATTAACATATAGGCATATTCTTATCTCAAAAATCCTTTCGGGCTTCGCCCCAGTGGCTCTGCAGATCCCTATGTTAACCTTCTGAGTATTCCTATTTAAAGGGAATTAAAGAATTTAGCCAGCTGTTTCAACTAGCCTACAGTAAAAGAGTTAGTACTATGATATGCAAAAGCATTAAAAATTAATAAGATTTACCAACAGGGTGCAGCACTATTATTTTTTTTCATTATTTACGAAAACAGCTTAATTGAACTAAGCAGCAACAAACTGTGATACGCAATGAGAACTGTCAAAGTAGGATTGTTTACAGTTATGTTTATGTTTTTAATTTCATGAATAATTTGTGATATTTTGCAAATTTTTAATAATCTATCTTTCTCTATTGTGTACTTCACAGTGATAGAAAATTATGGCTATGGTAGATGTGTAATATTATAGCATACCGTGAATTTGAGGAAGAAAATTTTCTCAAACCGTATCTTCTCACATTGCAAACGCAAAGATGGAGTATACTTATTTTATACTTATTTGCCAACCCCGTACGAAGCACGGGTACTCTGCTAGTAGTTTATATGTAAATCGTTTTAGTGTAGATTGAGTTAGTTTTACATGCCTTATACTGATGTAAGGGAAATGTTAATTAAATTTAAATTATTTTAATTCACAGAATATATAATGTACATATAATATCATGATCAATGGCTAACTAGTTTGACTGTTATCACACTTCACCTTGTTGGCAGAACTGGAGAACAGCTGTTAATTAACTAAAGTCATTTTTGTAATGAGCTGTTTCTTCAAATCTTTCTTAGTTGGCTGATTCCCTTAAAAATTGTACAAACTCGTGAAAATGTAAGTAGAAAACATTTTAAAAATAAGAAAATTGATTTATGTGGTATTGTATTGTTAATAATCTTGTTTACCATGTTTTTACCTATGATTATATATATTCTTTTGATTGTCTGTCAGTTAATAACTTTGTAAATGTCAAATATTAAATACTCAACTTTCATGTTACATTTGGATTGAAAAAGCACATGTTCTGAGAATATTTTATAAATTATTGTAAAATCACCTTAAATTAATTATGTTTGCCTCAATTATGTGAAACTAGTATTACTTTAGTTTACCTGTTATTATTTCTTTTGAAATTGTTACAGACGAGTTCAAGCATTAGGCCTACTGTACTCGAAACAGTCATAGTCCGTAGGAACTGGGAATCACAGCCTATTTAAGCCAGTCAAATCGTAGGAATTTTACCAAGTAAGACTGTTGCCATTTAATTACTGATATAGTAATATTAGATATCATTTATAAGGAAGATTATAAAGGATTTTCGTTTATTTAGAAGAATTAAATTATAATTTGTTATTACCATGCATTGGAGTAATTTGTGCAGCATCCTAACATCTGAGGGAAATCACCTAATGATAGGTTATCACAGCAAACCTCATCTTAGCTGTTAGCTTGGTGTTGAAGAATAATAAGTCCAAATTAAATCTAGCCTACCTACTCTCCGGTGATTGGCCATACAGGGGTACTGGGTAGCGTATAGCCTTGGTTTTTTTTTCAATAATTGTAGTTGTATGCATTTTTTTATTGATTTGTTAGTGTAGTTTGCAAAAACTACAATTTTTCAAGTTTTTTCCAGTAGCCTTAGAATATACTAGACTAGAGGTCAAATGTACCATTTGGTATTTAATTGTCGTCTAGTGTTGTTCAGGTTTCATCTCCACAAGGAAATGAATGATTGTTATTTTTCTGTAAGTGGTGTTTGTTATCTTTGTTTGAAAAATGCTTGGAATTAACATCAACACAACATCGCACTATTATACTGTGTCCTTACATTCACTATTGTAGTCTAATAAGATGGCGGATATCACCAAATGTAGTTTGTGATCATGTTCGATTGTACACTCCAATCATCATCAACCCAATAATCTAGTTACAACCGTTCCATTCCCTGTTGGGTCTAATGATGATTGTCCAGCCCAATATACAGACTTTTTACGAGTACCGTTCACTCTTAGCACAACCAATAATTTATATTAAATAGTCTAGCAATCAATGAGCAGATATAAGATAATCACTTTTTTGCAAATTTATGTTATAGTCATCAATAATTTTTTTAAACCAAAAAATACATATTTATCAAGTTATTAAAGCATGCGCAGGAACAGAACAGCACTATCAGGCAGCTAAAAAGGAAAAAAAAAACTTTATTAAACCGACATTTTTAGTAAATGTGTTTCGGTAAAAATTACTACAATCAAATGCCAAATTTAAAATTATTAATTAAATAAAGCGTATTGAAAATGTGGTGAATCCTTGTTTATCAAACATTATGCATAGTAAGTGCAATGTATACAATACGCCTGCATGCGATTACTCTTCATATAAAGCCTATAACGCGTGATTCAATATTTCACGTTAAAATTCATGATAAAGGATTTCATCCGCTTCATAGCGACATAAACGTTCAAATTGTTACCCAAAGGTTATAGGTATTACGCTTTATGTTTTGCATATAAAGCACACATTTGCTACACAGGTGGAATCGTGTTACATATTGGTTTTATATATGCGAGCGATTCTTGTTGATTTTTTTTGTGGATTTTATTAAGACACATCAATTAAACAACACTCGCTGTTGCATTTATGTTTTTAGGAACTAGTTGAATGAAATATGTCAGCATTTTATATACATTAACACTTTTCTAGTATACGTTTTATCTTATGTTTTTAAATTTCAAATTAATAAAGAAATTACTTTTTAAGTCCAATACTACTTGTCCTCTGCATAGAGTCCAAAATCCATCATAAAACGTACCCTATAATACACAAACATAGTTCTTCCAATACATAAAATTATTACATAATTTGATCTAGAAACAAATCCTGAACATCTTTGATACATTTGGTATTTGGGTGAAAATCTAAGATATCCAAAACATACTTTAGTTACCTATCAGGATGAGAACTTAACATGCAGCATACAACATCAATCCTATGATCATACATGGCCTACTCACCATGACAACCCAGATCCTGCCAGACTTGCACAACACAAACACTAGACACTACTGCTAGTAGTCAACAGCTGTTTAGGACTGGTCTATTTTGGTGCAATCCGCGTGGCCTTGATGATCCTGTTCCTTAAACATCTGTGAATCATTATAGAAACAGGCGAGTCACGACACAGCAAACATGTATAACCGTCACGATGACCTTGAGCTGAAAGTACTCCATGTCACGTGCTGTATTCAAGCGCATTTAGTGAATTTCACATACTTGGCAGATTAGATTATTTTATTTTAAACTATTGACATTTTACTAAAACACTAATACAGCCTATTTCCTGTAGCGGCAAACACAATGTTTTAGAAGTTGGGAATAAATCTGACAATTTTAAGGAAATATATCTGTCAAAAGCCAATGATGATGGAAATACGCTTTGTTTGCAGGTTTGCTGTGTGGAATTTTCTTTAACTTCCAAATCATGTCAAACATTTGTCCTAGATTATGTTTGTGGTATCGGAAATGTTGAGGTATTTTGAAAATTACGCCAGCTCAACTGTACAATCCGAATTGCACAATTCATCTGATTGAATCATTACATATTCTTAAACTACATAACTTAATTTATATTCCAAGTATCCATTGTTTTAATTATCTTAAACTAAATGTTATATACCTCAACACAGCGTAGTAAATGAGAGTTAAAATTATAGAATTGCGACAACAATTTGAATTTTGTAGTGTAATCTAATGGAAATTAAAAATATAAAGTCTGATTGAACATTTGTATCCAATCCTAGAGATTACCGTCTTCTAAAATACTTGGAGTTAAGAAATATTTTAGAATTTACATGTTTTTATAAACATATTCATGGCATTGTTATTATTTTTAAATACATTCAGGCGAATTAGTTGAAATAATTTACAAATAGGTGTCATCATCTATAACACGCTGTGCTACAAACACGTCATTTATATGCAGAACATAAAGCGTAATACCTATAACCTCTGGACCATTATGACATTATAACTGTCACTATGAAGCTGATGAAATCCTTTATTGTGAATTTTAACATTAAACGTGGATTGCACTTTGTAAACTTCGTTAGATGTTTCTTGTTTAAAAAAATGGCTTTATAGCTCAACAAATACATTTCTGGAGGCATGTTGCTGAGTAAAAGACTTTTTTTCATTTCTTTCCTCATACAGGCTTTATCGCTTTTAAAAGCAATGAATTTCGATCATATAGATTTCAAAGTTTTTTCCCGCTATTTATTTCAATAAATTAAAAATAATTTGATTGTATATTTCATCACGAGGGCGTAAAATACGTTGTGACACATGCTCAAGTTTAACGGGACATAAGTAAGTAGTTAAGAAAACGGTTTCACACATTGTAAGACTTAAATCATCAGTTAGTACAGAACAGGACATCCACGCAGAATAGGACATAAGTCCTGTAACTAAACTATTTAATCAGCAAAATGAGTGACAGATTAGTCTATAAAGAAATTATATCTTTTTGGAATTTTTTTTTTTTTTAGGGAGAGGAGGGAAAATGCTTTTACGCACACAGGTAGCCAGCCTGTAGTGTGAGACTCCTGAAAATTGTCAGACTACTCACTAAAAAACCCCCTCTACTCTGTTGGACACAGACCTGGAATTGTTTGTCACATTGCTTCAAGTCAGGCCAACATGTGACCTAAGCCCTCAGGGCTCGCACCGTTTCTGGCATTTCGATTCTTAATGACCTACAACCGCATCCCGGTCAAGGTCGATCTTCTTGGCGCGGAGAATACCCTGGATATAATGTGACACACAGGTCCAATTGTCCTCACCCTCCGTCATAATCGGTATGACCGTGTCCACCGACAGCAGTCCTATTAATTGTTGAGCCTCCAGGCGGGGCCTTTCCCAGCGCTGGCAGTGGAAAAATTTATGTTCCACGTCATCGAGAATGACTGGGCAGTATATTCAGTCGGGTGACACGGCTTTGCCCATCCTGAACAGGTACGACCGGAAAAAGCCGTGTCCCGTCAGAAATTGGGTGAGGTAGAAGTCCACCTCTCCGTACCGCCGATCAACCCAAGGTTGGACTTGCTGTATCAGTCGCCTGGTCCAGAGTCCCCGTGTCTCCTGTTCCCAGCCCTCCTGCCACAGCTGGTAGGTGCGGGTGCGTTCCTCTGTTCGTGCCTCGTCCTCCCCACGGCGCCGGTAAATTGCCTTTCTCTCCACCGCCAAAAGTTTGACGGGGATGACTCCAGCAATCACCAGGACGGCGGGCTCGGACACTGTTCGGTAGGCAGATGCTACCCTCAGTGCTGCCTGACGCTGCACTCGGGCGAGCCGCATCCTGTATGCCTCCTTATTTAGTGCGTCTGCCCACACCTCCGCACCGTACAAGAGTACGAACTGGACCGAAGACATTAACAGCCTTCTACGACTGGACCGAGGCCCTCCGACATTGGCCATCAACCGGCTAAGAGAAGAAACCACCCTAGCGGCCTTGTCCGCTGTACGGAAGATCTGATCCCGCCAGCTAAGCTTGCTGTCTACCATGACCCCAAGATACTTGGCAGAACGAACAGTTTGAACCTCGACGGCTCCCACCTTCAACGGCACGATGGTGTCAATCAGTTTGTTTGTCAAAATCACGATCTCGGTTTTGCTCAGAGCAAGCGAAAGACCGTGGTCTGCCATCCATGCGTTTATGGTACGCATAACTCGGTTTAGCTTTAGCTGAGCCAGCTCAACGCTACGTGCAGCTATCAAAGCTGCAACGTCGTCTGCGTACCCAACCAAGACCGTTTCCTCAGGTATTTCAGACCTCAGAAGGCTGTCATAAGCGACGTTCCAGAGGTCTGGGCCGAGTATGGAACCTTGGGCAGCACCAGAAGTGACACTCATCGTCCGCGGGCCCTCCGCAGTGTCATACGTTAGGAGGCGAAACCGGAGATAATCCTCTATGATGCGCATGAGGTATGCCGGCACGTGGAAGGTGTTCTCCAGAGCATCCAGCATATCGCACCACCTCGCCGAATTAAATGCATTTCGCACATCAAGCGTTACGAGCAGCACAACCCTGCGAGAGTAGTGGGTAAAATCCTCAGCTCTCATCACGGCTTGCTTCACCTCCTCAATCGCATCAATCGTTGATCGCCCCATCCTGAATCCATACTGACGAGGGGAGAGGTCCCCCGCAGCGACAACGGCTGAATTTAGCCGGGAACGGATCAATTTCTCGAGGACTTTGCCAGCCGTATCCAACATACACAGAGGTCTGTAAGAGGATGGCAGATCTGAGTCTCCCTTGCCCTTCCTAACAAGCACAAGCCTAGCTGTCTTCCAGCACAAGGGGAAAACCTCTTCAACCAGGCAGGCGTTGTACATGCTCAAAAGGATCAAGGGGTTGGTAGTCAAAACCTTCTTGAGGACTTCACCGGGCACCCCATCGGGACCAGAAGCCTTGTTGTTCTTGAGGGATATGACGGGCGCCACCAGCTCTTCAGGGCTGAAAAGTGGGACGTCGTCCACCCTTCCATGATCCCGCAGTGGGCGCAACGCGTGAGCCGGGAAAAGGGACTCGACTATCCTCTCCATAGTGACCCTGTCCATGACGGAAGGTGGAGAGCGGGTTCCAAGTTTCTTGGTTACAAGTTTGTAACCCAGGCCCCACGGGTTGGAATCAACATCGTCCCTTAATTTATCCCAGCAACTGTGTTTACTCCGATTGATGGCTCGACGAAGATACCTCCTAGCCACCCTATAAGCATCCGACTTACGCCGTCTGTCTAGGGGTTCTCTAGCCCTGGTAGCAAGTCTTCTGGCCCTCAATGCCGCTCGACGCAATTCCGCAATCTCGGCAGTCCACCAGTACACAGGACGCTTATTGCACCGGTATCTCCTGCGGTGCCTCTGCGTGAGGCACGCCAGTTGCAGGATGAACCACCGGCGTTCTTCGTAGGATGGCTCCATTGAATTTCGCCACATCCAGTTTTTTAATGTTCCATCGAACGGGCACTTGACGAAACGCTGCCACTTGTCTCTGATGACCATCCAGGACGTCAAAAATTATGTACTGGTGGTCACTGGCCGTGTAATCCTCCAGGACTCTCCAGGCTCTGATCCTTGGAAAAAGAGACTCAGATGCAAGGGTAATGTCTGGGATCGTTCCCCGCATCCCAGGGCGCCGGAAAGTTGGCGTTTTGCCCTCATTGACGACAACGAGTCCGGCTCTGGCAGCAAAGTCCAGGATGTACTTGCCCCGGGAATTTGTGAGGGTCATTCCCCACTCGACAGCCCTAGCATTAAAATCCCCACCCACGACGACGTGTCCTGTGGTATTGCGCACGCTCTCTTCCAGGCGGTCTATCTTCTCACGAAAGTCACGGATGGCCTCATTGGGATCTTTTTGGGATTATATCATCGATAATGACCAAGAATAGCAAATGAATTTAAGTAAGGGAAATTTCTAAAAAGTACATTATAAAGTTCGAGTTCTGATTGTATAGTAGAATGTTACATTTTTCGTAATCGGACCAGTAACATTATGTTTAGTAGGTGACCAATATAACCAATAAGCTAAGATATTTCATTTGGAAATAAAAAATAAAAAATAGTTGTGCAACAAAACTTTGGTCAATGGCAGCTGAGTCCAGTTTTAAACTTTAAAACATTACTGATAGGGTTGTTTGGATGACAAAGTCATAAAGCCAGCGTTCAGAGCGGAAGTTGGATATGCAAATCTGTTGGTTTACTACCCATAATGCTCAGCGCCACAGCACTAATTATACGCGTTCACTGTGTATGATTACCCTGCCTATAATCTTTGGTTTATGAGCGTGTCATTCAAAGTCACATTCATTTTTTTACCCTAACGTGGGACAATTTAAGGTTAGTTTCTGGTTAAAGGGGTTTTAATTTTCACGATAGTTAGAAGATTTCAAAAATTAATTTGATATTTTTTTCAAAATATTATTACATCTACATTTTATATTTCTGTAAAAAAAAAACATAATTCTGAAACTAACGCTTGTGTAAGTTCACATGTTGCTTTTCTAATGTATTTCACATAGAGTAATACTAACTCAAAACAGTTTTATGTTTCATCAAAAATCCGATTGTATAGGGATAGCGTGAGTATGAAAGATTCGTTACGTCTGTACAGAATATGGCATGTCAGTTCTCCCAGCAAACGTTTATGTTTATGTGATTTGAAATATCCTTTTCACGTTACCTCATGGCACGACCTTTCTTTGAAATATAGCTCCTTCTAACATTAATGTAGTTAGTTAAGTTAATCTTTGTTAGTTACATGAATTACTTGACAATGATGCTTATATTGAGTATCAGTTACACATTGAGTGTCCTATTTGTCGTTGAACTTCCCGAATATTTGGCTAAAATACAAAGAATGTCCATCTTCTTATTTTACACTTCTTTTATTTATTTATTTATTTATTTTTACGGCAAACACCATTTTTTACAATCGTTTTACATTGTGATACATGCGACAAGATGCTTATTACATGCTGATAAATGTTGTACAGATACATCAGTGATACATGCAAAGATTAAAATGAAAAGATGAAAAACATGTTCAATGAAAATGACATGCAGTTGTGATAACAATTGAAGAGTGAAAGTTGAATTAACTAGGTAATCATAATAATTAAGTAACATGCTCAGCGAATAACAGACTATAACTATAGGTAACAATAACAAATAAAATATATAACATGCTTGGCGATAAATAATCTATAACTAGTTAACAATAATAATTGGCAACAATACTAACAGTGGTGATGATGCAATACGGAAACGAGTAATAGTGATAACAATAACAGACTAGAAATAGATAACAGTGATAATGAACGAAGTAGGCACCAGTGATAACATTTTAAAAAAATATAACAGAAGATAGATGAGGCTATCTCCTAAAACTCTGATGCAAACAGCAAAAAAAATCGAAACAACCCCCCACCCCACAATGTGGTTGTGACCCTTTAAAGGCGCCACCAATAACAAAACACAACACTGTTTCATGACCAGAACACTGTAGCGAGGTCACATTAGTGGAGTAGCCTCCGGACATCTCGCTTGAATGAACCTGGTGATGGCCCGAAGAAGTCAAGACGAGAAGACACATCTTCGCTGGTTCTCAGGAGTCTAGAGATGCCGTGGTTACGAGCATAGTTAGTCGGCTGGTATCTCCTTGTGAATACTGCTCTTGATCGAGTGCCCCTGGGAATGGTGAGGTCGATGTCGTTTAATAACTCAGGACAATCAATGATTCCATTTACCAGTTTATACAAGAAGATGATGTCACAGACCCGTCGTCTAACTGGAAGAGGTTGTATATCAAACTGTTGGGTCAGGGCTCAACACAGTTCTTTGGCGCGCAGTTACAGTTTACAGTTCTTTGATATGTAAATTTTCAATATACAATATCTAAGGGAGTATGTTTTATCTATGACAATATGTATATATATAATGCATATATTGACAAGTTAAAATAAGTGTAAAATAAGAAGAGCGAAACAAGCTGAAATACAGCTGGCACTGGAGGGAAGAAGAAACGTCAATCATGATTCAGTCAGTTTTATTTAGTCAGTGGCAGTGGACAAGACAATGCTGGCCAACCTGTACAGTTTTAATAAGTTTTATCAACTTTTATTCCGTTTTAGCTATTTTATCAACATGGCAAGTTTTGATTATTGTGATCGTGACAGTCTTTTAAAGAATCTATTGAAATACCACAATATATTAATACATTGATGACGTGGTTGCATATAAAATGACCTGATAAGTTCTCAGGAACGAAACTAGTCGTCATACCACTCTGCGGTTGGATAAGGTAATCTTTTTATTTCATTAATTTTAAAGGATAGCTATTTAATGTATTGGGAAAACTTTATAGTTGATTTAAGTAGGATAACGGAGTATTTGGAGCAAGCAAATATATTGAATGTAACAACAAGTTTATTAAGCTGAAGTATTATTTTCAAAATTTATATTTTTAACATCTTTGATATTGGCTATCATAAATAATTACTAAAATGTATTTGTTTAGTTTATAATATCCATATTATTTTAGGTTAGGTATGATTACAGTATATATTATTTAATGATAAGTAATACAAATTATAAGTTGTTAGTGATAATTCATCTAGTTTAATTTTATGTATAATTATGAGCCTAAATTTAACAGATTTCAGTAAGATATAAATTTAATTGTCAAATTTTCAACATCTAAAAAAAATTTATATGATAAACTGTTTTTGGCTTTCATGAATCTTTACTTTCAATAGTAAAGGCAGTTTAATTCTAAACTGTCCTAGTGGTGTTAACATTTAAACAATATTGTTGTATATGAGTACTACACTGAAAAACTATATTTTTAACATAATAGGGTTTACACAACGAATGGTAACGAACACTATTTGGAGTTATCTGAAGCACATTATTATTGTACTAAGCTTTCTTTAACAAGTTACCACGTTGGGTAAACTGATTTTGCTTCAAAGGAAT